GAGTATACTCATTGAACGATCTGGTAACACCATATGAATTATTTGCATCTACAGTAGATTGCAAACCCTAGATGACGATCTCTTCGTAGCAAGAACGAGCTGGAGACCGTTCAAAGCTTCGTCCCCAGTGGAGTCTTCAGAAAGTGTGTTCGCACACGAACACGTCACCGTGTACCTCCAACATCGAGGTGATGCACCGCAGATCACGTCGAAGGAGACCCGTCCGGAAGCGCGGTACGCAAGCAACCCGACAGGCGCTTTTGAGGACTCGAAACCCCACACGCCCGGGAGGGACCCCGTCAGGGCGCGCGATGGATATGGGCTGCCCTAGGTCGATCTGACCACCCCTAGGGCCTCGAGGTTTACCGCCCTGCAATGAAGAAGAACGAACGAAGAACGAGAAGAAGAAGAACTAGGGTTAAGGAGAAAAGATAAAAGATAAAATAGATTGATTGATCGATTGTGTGTTGTTCAATCGTCCGTCACCTCTTAGCTATATAAGAGGCGGCTGGACTTCCCGTGCAAGGAATAGGCTTGGATTCACGTCCAAAACCCTAGTCAAATTTGGATTTGTTTTGTCTGAACTTTCCAAAATTGTTCGGCTTAAAACTGGCTGCACTTTACAGGTCTTTTTTGAGGCAGTAAACGACCTCCAATGAAAATGCGCCCTAAAGCATATATCGTTACCATGAGATGAACAACTTACATGTTGAACGTTTTTTGATTTGAGGCCATCTTCAGGGCCGAATCACTTGTGCAAAACAGTTTGTTACTCGCGCTACCCATCAGACAAGGGTCTGGTGGGGCGCGCCATATTTTGCCTCGTGACAGAGCTGCATTCCGATGACTCTAATTTTTGCATACAAATTGAATTGGGACAATTTTTATATCAAAATCAACCGTTTCAACGAGACGCACAACTTCTATGTTGAAACTTTTTCCATTTCAGACCAACTTAATTGAGTTTCAAGCCATTCTTTAATCTGGTGTTAACATGTGCATCTCCGAACTTGTCATAACTTTTGCATACGAACTCCGTTTTAGACCACCTTCATATCCATTTTGATCTTCTCGAAGAAAGACATCCCATGGTGACTTCCAATCATAAATTTGAATTAATCTTGATATAATTTAAAGGAACTTTTATGATTGTGCCACTTTTGAGCGTCAACAGCCTAGAAGAGGCCGTCCTCCTCGACATCGGCCTTTTCCAGCAGCGCCTGCTCTGCCGCTGGTGCCCTCCGCAGCTGGGGACAGTCCCGCTTGAAGTGGTTGCGCTCGCCGCACTTGTAACAACGCCCCCGTCTGTTGCCGCTGTTGCCCGACGCCACGCTCCGCACGTCGTCGTTGTCTCGCGCTCCGCCCTGTTGACGCTCCCAGCACCCACCACTGCGCCATGGTCAGGAGCAGTTGATCACCCCGCGCTCGCTGCCGTCTTGTCCACGGCGCCGCGACCGCTCATCGAACACGCGCAGCCGCCCGATCGCCTCGTGAAACACCATGGTTGTCACATCGCAGAATTGCTCGACGCGTCGCCGAGGGGGAACAAGAGGTCGGGGACGATGTCCAGGAGCTTCTTCACGAGCGCCGCGTCGCCCAGCGTCTCCCCGAGACTCGCGTACCGCGCCGTCATCCCTGCCAACCTCCCGGCGTACGCATCCAGCGCCTCGCCGTCCACCATCTTCAGGCGATCAAATTCGCCGCGAGACGTCGCCAGCCTCGCCACGCGCACCCGATGGGCGCTGACGAACCTCACCTTCAGAGAGTCCCATACCTCTCTGGCGGTGAGCTTCGTCGCCACCTGCAGCAGGACATCCTCTGGCAGCCCTCCGAGGATCATCGCGCGTGCCGTCTTGCACTTTTTCACGTTCACCGCCGCGTCGCTCGGCGCCACCGCCACTCACAGAGTGTGGGCATCAAGGATCGTCTGCGCCTTGATCGCCCACATCGTGTAGTTATCCAGCGTGAGCATCGGCAGCGCCATCGACACCGAGCCACCCGCGTGTCCGCCGTGTGGCACAATCGCCATTGCCTCCCATGAGCTCCCTCACCAAGCTCTGATGCCAATTGTTGTTGCCGTGGCCTTGCCCTAGCTAGCCCTATCTCCTCCCTAGCTCTCTCTCTCTCTCTCTCTCTCCCTTTTCTGTGCTCGAATGACACGAGAAGGAGGACACGTCGAGAGTTTTCGAGGCACGAACGCCACCGCACGAACGGTCTTTTTCCCGAGTACGAACTCGACTCCCCGACCATTACAACGAGCCCCGCAGGTGCTCTGATACCCTGGGTAGTGGCCGGGCACGCCCCCACCCCCCCCTTCCGATCAGGCCACGACATGGGCCGCTCTGGGCGCGCACACTCGCGTCTGGGTCGCGTCGAGCTCTCACGGGTCTGGCCCGATCACACCGTCCTGCTCGCCAATGGCCTCCTACGTCTACGACGCAGCTACTGCGCGCACCCCTGCACCACACATGCACGCACCCACCCACCCACACACACACACACCACGGACCCGACGCGCCCGACACAGCCACCGCGCACACACGCGCGCTCGTTGCGTCCTGGTCGTCGCCGCAGCTTATTGTGGCCAACAAGGATGGTGGTCACCCAATCCCGACTCGGGAAGCCGTTGTGCTGAAGAAGGTCCAATAAATAATCCGGTCGCACAGAGCCAAAGGCCTTTTTGATATCAAGCTTCAAAAGCAAGGTTGCAGACTTGTTGTGATGCATTATGCTAGTAAGATTTCAGACATACATAAAGTTATTGAGGATACTTCTTTTTCTTGATGAAACGCACTTTGCACATTGTTGACGAGAGTCTCCATAAGATGTGAGAGACGTTTGGTCATCATCTTAGCCATGATCTTTGCTATGGCATGGATGAGACTAATGGGTATAAAATCTTGGCCTTTTTTTGCAATTAGGGTGATATTAGCTGAGTTCAGCCGGTGCAAATCTATATTGCACTCCTTCTACTAAAAATGGTAAGATTTTATTTCTACAAGAAAATAGTGAGAGATCCATTGGTCACATAGTTTTGTGATCAATGACAGGAAGAGTCGCTACACTGAACACGCTATCATAAGGAAAAATTATATTTCAAAGCATTAAAATTTGCTTTTAGTTTCAAGCCCAACAACCATTTCGTTATCCCCATTGACTAAAACATTGCCTCCATGAGAACAAAAATGAAACATAAAAATATTTATATTATAAATTCTGCACGTGTTTCAAATGAAATAAAAAATTATCATTAAAATGAAATGGCTCGTGTGGTTTGTTATTTGGTGGAGTCGAATGTGGAGGTGGTAGTCATAGAGCAGGATTGTTGGACAATGGAACGCTTGATGGAGTTGATCCCATGGTTTAACTTTAGTTCAATAATTATTTCGGACGTGATGAAATATAAAAACTGAAAGTTATTCCATCTTCTATCCACTGTATTTGAATGAGTTTGACCAAACTAAATTTGATTTGGACCGTTTGAATCTAGGACAAAATTTGAAGGTGAAAATTCGGTTTCCTACCTATCAAAATTAACAAAATTTCTTAAAAAAATCTTTCAAACTTTGAACTCTAGTTGATACACTCCTGCTTGAATATAAACTGGCGCCACACCCCCGTTACCCCGTTGGGCAGTTGGGGAATGATGTGGTTGCCGTGTTCATCCGAGCGATCCATGGGATTGGACACCACTCCACTCCACGGGTGCAATGTTGGAGTTTCTGGGTGAGGGGTGAGAGCATGTGGCGAGGAGCTCGTCCGCCGTTTGAGTGGTCTACGGACCTAGATGTATTTTCTTTAATTCTGGTTTCATGTACTATCATGATATTTGATGAATAGATCGAAAGTTTTTCCCCCACAAAAAAAAAAACAAGGCACGATCAGAGCATGTGAGTTCACCATAGAGCTATTTTGGATGCAATTAGCTCCTTAGAAATTAACTAGTCTTTTTGTATGCTGTTTTCTTTTATTTTACCTTTTTTTGAGTGTGATTTTCCTTTCTTTTAACTTTTTTCTTGATGGGAATTTCCTTTCTTTAACGATAGCAGTGTACGCCAATATTATACTTTTTTTTAGGCAG